GCAAGAAACTGTTCACCCAAAACGTGAAAGACAAGCTGTCACATTGGGACACCTCAACGTGCATATACCAGTTTACTTGCTCTTGTGGAGCTGAGTACGTTGGCCGTACCATGCGCCGACTTGAAAAACGCGCTCGTTAACACTACCCAGCCTGGCTGGTAAAAGGAGACCAAAAGCGTGTATACAGTTCAGTGACAGAACATCTGGTTATTTCAGGACATTCAGAGCCTTTAGAAAAATCCTTCAAAGTAATATACAAGATCCAATCAAACTCATCAAAAGGAGTGAAATCAAGACGTCTGGGCATAGCCGAGGCGCTAGCTATCCAAAAGCTCAAACCCACTCTTTGTATCCAAAAGAAATACGTCCAACCCCTGTCCCTGCCATGGCCATCATAAACAGGTAATTTTTTAGTAATGACCTTCCCATCGGCTTTCTCACCTAAACTTCCTGTTTATTCTTGTTATTTTAAGTTTTTCTTAATCCCTGTTTACACTAACATATTTTCATACCCGAACTTCGTGTTTATTTTGTCATTTTACTATTTCTACACATTTAATCTCTGATTGCATAAACAATTATTCATCACATTAGTTCTTATCTAAACATCCTGTCTATTTTGTTATTTCTACATTTCTAACCCCTAATTGCACAATGTCAATCTTCTCAGCTATCATGATGCTACTTTGTTTGTTGTATCCATCCCCCTGTTTATTATGGCATTGTAATTCCTAATTTTTATTATATATATATATGTACATGTATATTACTGATGGGTATTTGAATTCAATGTGATTTAAAAGCTCTTTTATCATCCGTTTTTAACTCACACTGAATTTCAACGTCAGTACTGTCACAAACCGGTGACACGAGGCTTTTGATAAGTACTTAAAATGTATGAGATGAACATTCCCGTTTCTCTCTAGGATATCACAATGAAATTTGACATTCAAATCTCACTTGGTTCTGTACTTTTCCCCTTCTAGAAGTACTTTTAAACTAAATGTTTGTAGAAAATCAGTTGTGATCACCAAAGTCATTAAGTAACTGAGCCTTATGCTTTACAAACGCGGTCACAACAAAAGAAACAGTACATATTTCAGATTTTTGAGGTGGGGTGAAGGATGTTGTAGTGATGGATAATTTCAGTGGAATTTATACCTTGTAATCCTAGGGTTTTGAGTGCGACCCCCGATGGAGTTATTCGCCACAGGATGAAATTCTAAGGGAAAGTATTGGTTGGCTGGTGATGTCAACCATGCCGCATTTGAGGCCGATGATAATCGATTGGGCTGGTCAGTGTTAGTAAGTTCCGTCCTAGTAGTTGAAGGATCTAGGAGCTGGCTTCAAAACCTGAAAGTTCTGTATTCAACTCCTGGTAGGGCCTTCCTTTCGTGTGCGCTGTTGAAAAGTCTCTAACTAGGACGAAACAGCTCTCTACGATCCTCCAGTTTTCAGTGATTCTCCAACTGATGAAATCTACAATGAAATAAATGAATGAGTAGAAGAAATTTCATATACATTTTTATCACGTCTTTCCTAAAAGTGTTTTTCCAATTTATCGTTTTCCCTATGACAACGACAAAAAGAGGAATATTTCATTGAATGGTAAACTGTTTTATCCACTTACAGAACATAAATAACCTTACGAGGTCAGTCATTATTTGAATATGCCCAGTAAGGTTATTCTCTTTCTTTTTCTATTAGAAACTTTGAGACCAACATTAATGTTGTACTATTAAAGTGTCTACTTTAGTGTGTACGTGTGTGTATTGATTTCAATTTAAGCTTTTTTGAGGACAATTCACATCTGCACCTTGACCTTAATATTAATAGTGGTAAGATTTTCTCACCATAGAAAGTTGACCATTCTGAACACAAACAAACACTCTTGAACGTACGCACATTTATAATGGTAGATATTTAATTTAAGGACATTTTGTTTGTCTGTTTGTATATCTCTCAGTTTTTTCTTACTTCTGACTAACTAACTTCTTCGCTTATTCTGCCTATGTGTATCAGTGATAGTTCACATATGTGTCTGTCTTTCGATTATCTGTCATTACATTATATTACCAATACGCCTACAGCTTAATGTGTTTATTTAATACGTGTATGTGTATATGTGTAATCCAATGTAAGTTTAAGGTCATTGAATGGCGAATGAGCAGGCGCCTACAAGATAGTATATAAACAGGCAATGAAAGAAAATTATTCTTAAATAGCCGTTCGCTTTTAGCTCGCAACTTATCGGTATGTTTAAAAATGTTCTTTTTTTGTATTCTATCAGTTAAGTGTTACTATTACAACAACTATCTTGTTTCTGGATAAGAGCAGCATCTGAAGGGAATGTCTGTTCGGTATGTGTTATATCATGACTACTTATTAAGCATTGCTTAATAATGTAGCTGTGTAATAAAATTCACCACCGGGTAGACATTCATCCGCAGACGTCTAGCTTTAAACCTCACTGTGTAATGAATTTCTCTGAAGGATTCATTTTGCGAGAATGTAGAAAGATTTTAGTATTTTAATGTTTTATGTTACTATTTCATTTCATTTGAGTATTCTGATAGCTATTTAATATGATATTATTCACGGAGAAGCTCTAATCTATGTGATGACAGGTTACCCGATTGACCCCACCCCAAAAACTCAGCCCGTTGATCAGAATTAAGGAGCGATAAAACTAGCGAAATGGTTGAAAGTATAACTCTAGATCATAATACCTTGAGATATGTCTATATTTTTGAGATTCTGTGCTTTATTCCACGGCAAAATCTCAATCTTCCAAAAAGACCAGTTATATTCTGTCTAGCTTGCCTGCATATCTATGTTTCAGTTACTCTGAATGACCATTCTGGAAATACCTCAACAAATCTAGAACAGAAGATGATTTGGTCACATCACCTGCAAGTTTATTTGTTTGTAGAAGTTCATGTATTGGGAGGGTTGCTAATGTAGTTTAACTTTGCGTCCAAATTTTAATGTCGGTCTGAACGAAGAATATTTTATTCAATAAATTCTCCTCTTCAAGTGTTATTACAGTTATTAAATAAACTTTGTTAACGTTAAAGTAATAGCCAGTTACGTATAAGAATAGATTAGTTCTAGGGTGACAAAATAAATAGTATATACGTGATAAAAACCTTTATTTGAACTCGTCTAATTATCAAGTCTTCATTGAAAGTAAAGTTATACAGATTAAGCTTTTATTTAATTAATTTGGATTGGAATTTGAACAAGCCAATCTCAATGTATCAATAGTTGGGATGCTAATGCTTAAACTGACTAAATGAAAAGTGGTAATGGTGTTCTAACTCCGAAGTACTACAGTGTAAGCCCTATTTAGACGCATATGGAAGTGAGGAAGCCTGAAGACAAAAGATCAAGAAAATCGCCTTCAATGCAACGAATTTCATAACTTGTTACAACCAATAGTAAGGTATATCATATAGATTTTGAAAATACCTTCATCTTGCTTAATATATGTCTTATAGATACAGGGAATGAGATCCAAATATGGATAATAATGAGAGTAAGTTGACTTAAGCCGAGCTGTTTAAGCCTTCTACTCTTAGACGTTGCATGCATCGGTGATAATTAAGCATACACAAAAATATTTATAAAAACAATCTTGTATACAATAAACAAATAAATAATTTTTAACTTGATTGTAAATGATAACCTGAACTTATTTTTCCAAAGTGATAATAATTAATGCACGTAAAGATCTCAAGTGTCTGCCTATGCTTTCATTCTATATAGAGGTAATGTTAATATTTTAAGTTAGCTGGTTGATGGTGACTAGCAGTGAAATCCAGGATGCGAATTTCGTCCTATTTGGGACTCGTCAGCTTACTGGATGTACCTGCATTCCCCACCGAGGCTCGAACCCAGTGTGCATAGTTTCCAACGCCAAAGAGTTATCCACTGAACCACTTGAGCCACGAGAGCCACATCTTGTGCAACGGGTCATATTAATTTAATAGAATTTTAGATTTTCCCGTCGATGAATTGGACCGAAGTTCTCGGTCTCAGGTTGATATGTCGGCTCCTCGACGGGAAAATCTAAAATTGAATTAAATTGTACTCTATGGTTAAAAACTCGATTCTTAGCCTTCTTCTTCTGATGATGATGATAATAGACAATTCAGTGAATTTATCAGTAGTGTTTTAATTCAGAAATGGTGACCAGGCTTTATGTAAACATTTTCAGAAATACACACCAGGCAAACGTGTGTATCCTTTGTGGATGGGTAAGTTTGTCTCATTGTGATTGCGTAATTCTGTGGACTAATACAACTGACTGAAGATCTACAAAAGGTGTGGGGTTAATTGGTGCAGAAACTCAAGTTTCTAACAGTATAAATCACCTTTCAGGCTATGGTCTCACCTCCCTCGATCGAGTTTTATCCGCTGTAAATAATTTAGCTCTAGCAAGTGAGTTTTGTATAATCAGCATTCATACAGTTCGTTCAACTCATTAGTCTTATACGTGAAAAATATTCGCCAGGTGACTAAATACGTTCAGTTAGGTTTTGTTCAGTGTTTTATTTGCAACAAATTGATGCTTTTATCACTGTTACTGTTATTACTTTATTATTATTACTTTTTTTTGATTTTTGATTTACAGCTTGATTCCGCACTGTATTTTTGGTACAAGTATGGAATTTTCAGCATGGATATCGGTAGCCCAAATTTTGCAGGCCGACCATAGATATCAGGTGTGCGTCGGCAGGGGATCGAACCCCGGACCATGTGGATGGTCGGCGAGAGTCCTAACCACTGTGCCACCGACGCACTAAAGATGAGCGGTGGCAAACAACATGTCAGAATATCTAGTTAGTGAATAAAGTGATTGAAAGCAGACATTCCAGTTGAAAAAGAGAAATTACTCCCATATACTTGCTTCAGTTGAATATGCGTATACATATCTGTAAAGCAAAACGAAAAGAATTCTGGTGCCGATAAAACTGGCATAAAATAATGTAAAAATACTACAACCTGCTCTATTTTCATTTCACACTTTCTGTAGTGACTTTCAGGTTCTCTCTATTTCTTTCAATTATCACTTCAGCCATTGTTCTCTTTTACAGAATTTTTGTAGAAGACATTCCAGGATATTATTTATTGTATTGCTATTATTATTTTCTTGGGTTCCCAGTGGAACATGGGACTTCAACAACACATCTCCACTTCTTTCTATTTTCTGCTATCCTCTTCATCTGAGTCCACGACTGACCATAGTCTCTCATTTCCTCCTCGAACGATCTCCTGCACGTCACCCTCGTACCGATGACCAACTCGTCACTTCTCATTCGGATTACACTCTAGCAATGGCCTGTATTAAGTGCTATGTCATTCGACGGCCTCATTAATCAGTCTAAACTGAAAGTCCCTGAAGTATCCTAGATAAAATGGATCAGTTTCGTCGTTGACGAAAGCTTCGCAATTAAAACAACCAGCTCAGAGAGCATAACTAATTCCAAATTATCCACTTGAGCTACAAATCTTTTCTATTTATAAGGTAAGTATCGATTTAGGCTTTTATGTTTATTTTACAAACACGGTTCCACTAGTGTACATATGAACTCAGTGTAAGAAACTGACGTAGAGGGTTCAGCTGTGGTATTTTAACTGTAAGGTGTTCTCAAAGGTTAGTACTCAAAGTACTTTGGTAAGATATAGTATACTGAAATAGGGTTCCTCTTCAACCAATCAAAACAAATGGACCAATTTATGTTATAAACGTTTAAAAGACTTTTGGTCTTCTCATCACCTAATTCTTCGAATAGTTCTTATTTGTTTGTTTGGTATTTGAAATACTGGATGGCTACTGAGATAATATATTCCGAATGAGTTCTGATGTATACAGGGTACGATATTCAGTGTGTATATATCAACACCACAAGATGTCCATGTGATGTGTTATGAGGCAAAATATTTGAAAATGTACGCTAAACAAGATACGCTTTAATTAGTTGATTCAAGGTATTTGAGTTAGGCTTCATTTGCAAGACAACCTAGACGAGATCTCATTTGAAGTTTTACACTGCTTTTCACTTGATCTTAAAAGGCTTAATTGAAATATATATATGTCACTGTACTGTCAGCTTGTATAGTGTAGACGTATTTATTCTGTGTAGTGCTCTCGAATGCTACTCAAATGAGTTTAATAACAGTTTTTTGTCATTCCTTTGTTGGAAGTGAAATGTAAAGTTTCATGCTTCTAAGTTTCAGTGGCAATTGTGTTGTTTTTAAAGGGGCATAGTTACCAACCTCACTCCCAATCTTCCCTTGTTTTCAGGTTTACTAGGTGAGGTTTAGGGGTATATTGGCAGTAAACCTGGACTTCCACGATGACTGGTGGAAATTCTATCGTAATACCACTAGGTATGTGATAGTTTTATTCAATATAAAACAACTTTTAGTTCCCTATTTGAAATTTATTTATGCATGATATAATCTAATCCTATCTGTACTTTATGTTCTCCTTTTTTAGACCGCTGTTTTGAGGTGAGGTTTAATGGACCTCTTTCAAAGGTTGGAAATGACTTCAGGGAATCTCTAAATGAACAAATACCTGTACGAATTGGCCTAAATGGAACTCAGGGTGCTTCTATCAACCGTTGCTGTGTCAATTGTCCACAAGTGGCAACTAAACAGAGTGTGTGATGGAATTTCACGTTTGGAGAAGCATTTTCCTGTTTAGAGGCCATCTATTTCTACTGTAAAGACATGTGTGGTTAGAATCTTTAAAAAATGAAACAACGAGAATTTATCAGTCTAAAGAGTTACGCACTTACACATTTGTCACCTGTCGCCTAGTCCTCAACAGTTCTCCAGTTAATCTATACATATAGATAGGATGTTTTGCCTATGGTTACTTATTTATTGATTTTGGATCCGAAAAATGCTGTACAGTGTTTTGATAATTTTATACATCATACATTTATTAGAACCTGACATTTTTATGGATGAGAATAATAATGATCTCGTAGGAAGCTAATCGTCAACCAACATTTTACTTTCATGTTGGAAAACATTCATACTGGAGAATAAAATTGTGCACACGCCTATGTTACCATTGGGAGCTCAGTATCCCTGTTGATAAATGAAGTTGACATTTGGTTTAATGTTTCGGGTTTGAAGGAATTTTGATTAATTTTGTTATGAATCGGCATAATTTCGGAAGTAATCAAAAGCCAAGAAATACTGCATAGATGACCCGTCCTAGTTTGGGACTTTTTTGAAGTAACTCACCACTGAATGCAACAGGGATATAACTTGGGGTCTTAAGTTTACTATCCGAGTCCGTTGAACATCCTCTTATCTAGTTGCAGCCAGACGACCGGTGAACTTCCACTTGTGCTGATTCGCGAAATAACGCCGCCACCAGTCACTGCCGCTGATAAATATCTGCTTCACACCCACCATGCTCAACCCCATCGGTTATGACTTCTCATTCCAAGTTCATAACATCTGTTCTGTGAACACTGATCAGCAAGAGATTGACATACAGATTTAGGGTTTGTAGAGATTTCGATTAATCGAAATCTTACGAAATTCACTATTAATAAATCCTTTCTTGTCTGATTGTCTTGTCTGCATCTCATTACTGAAAAATTAAGTTATTTTCATCTTGAATACTGAATTAATAATATTCATTCCCTTTATTCCAAGTGAAACATAGAGTTTCAACAGTTCATCTTCATTGTACTCTACTCTCTGATATAATTTTCATCTGGAGTGATGAATGCCCATATGCTTTCATTTCTTTCTCATATAGTCTACTTCATGTCAATACTAGATGCCCAATCCGTCGCTTCTCATTTGGTATCCACTCTATGGCCTGGCATATCATATTACTTGAAGGTTTTGCCTACCTATATCCGACCCACCTATATTCCCTTCAGTATACTCTTTGAGCAACAGGTTCTTGGTTGGTTCATTGCCTGTTAGAGTTCCATGTTGCTTGTCTTTTCTGGCCGATCACTTAATTTTCAGTATGGAAGAGGAGAAAGATGTTGCTGAAAGTCTTTAGCAGGCTGTTGTTAATGCTTCTGATAATGCGCCACTCTAGTATCTGATTTACATAGCAGCAGTGACTTCATATAACTGTTGCGTACAATGGTTAGTGGGTCGCCTAGAGTGAAGCGACTGTTTGGTGTTCTATGAACTGCATGGAATGCATTTCAGTTAGACTCTAATTACGATGCAAATATTCTAGGTTTCGTCTATTTTGAGAAGGTTAAACTTCGTAATTTGTTAACGATTCATCTTAATTCTTTCAGATTTCTTATTCATAAATTTTTGACCTCTACTTTCGTGAAGATCCTGTAGATTTATTTTTGTCCGAATATGAATCCCCTTGAACAGAAGAAGAAACTAAGAGAGTGAGGGAGAGATCGTGAATCCAACCTATGTGTTCTTATTAGTGTTATTATTATCAATAATCTTAAATTATTTGTCTGATAATCAATAACAAAATTGTATTTCTGAAATAATCATTGAGAAGAAATAATGCTTGCAGTAGAAAGAAGTTTGTTAAGTAGAGGGAAATTTATAGATTTTGAAAAAAGCATGATTCTTCGATGTCTCTCCAACATAAAGATATGACAAATTTAGTAGGTAATTACTCAAGGAAATTACTTAAACGTAAACTGAGAAACCGACCATAATCAACCAACCATATGTCAGATAGTTTGAAAGTTATCATTTAAAACCTAGAAAAATTCAATGTTCTCAAGTGTTGTTTTGTAGGGAGTTGACTGACTGGTACTATATATTATTAACTCGCAGAGGTTAGGCTTCACGAGCCATTGGATTCTGTTTTAGTGGCCAGAGGACCTACTGGCTGGCCTTGTAAATTAAATGCCCTGGGTTCGATACTTGGTGGAGTCATGGATGAGTTCTGAGGGAGAGTTCCAGACTATGACGAAATATTCGTCCATTAGTTTTTTAGATTTAACTGAAGTCAACGTATCATGTAGGCGGAAAAAATCGATAATTATTCTATCATAGGTTGGCACTGCTTGTCTCTGGGGTCTTTGTATAGTTCCAGGATAATTCAGATACTAGTTTACTGGAATCGATTTCGATCAAATGAGCAGGCTGAACGTTTATTAATCTATCAGAGGATAAAAGTAGATTGATTATTTTCTTTCTTTATCTCCTAACTACTGGAGTGACTTCTCCTTGTGCTTACATGAAATACGTCGGCTTCAGTTTCTTGTAAGGACAATCTGAAAACAGCCTCCCACCTCCGATGGCAATATGACCAGTGAAGCTAAAAATGAGAATAAAACTATTCTTCCTATTTTTGAAGATGTTCCAACTAAATATCGAACTGCTTTTCGCTTCCAAAAAGGCAAACTACACAAAAATTACATTAAGAAATTCATTGCACTAAACAAACATTTTAGGATCAATAATAAATAATTGAAAATGACCCTATTGAAGTTACACAAATGACTTGATCAAGGCGGACATTTACAAAATATGGGTTAAGCAAGATATCCAGGTGGTTAGTTCACACTGTCTAATTGCAGTTAACTGCTCGTCATGATAAGAAGCAGAAGCTGCAGTATCTCGTTGCTCAGTTTAGCGACCATAGTGAATGTATAACTGTCGGACTCTGATCACTCCACCTATGGTAAAACAGATGCTTTAGTTTCCATTTGTTTCTCTAGTGTATTGATTAGAAGAGAAAAGCTGTTGGCGAAGAGACTAACTGTGTTATTTATACTTTTTGTTTACCAAACACACTCGAATAGTACACTAGCTAGTGTCGTACTCCTAGTCCTTTTCTTTGCTTCAAACTGAATTTTGTCAATCAAATTGGAAATGTTACCATCATACTTGGTGGCTCTCCATCATGGTGCGGTCAGAAATGTTGCTATTAGATGGATGAAGACAATCGGCAGGAAGCCTTGAACCTAGGTTTCGTGCAGCAAATAAACGACTAGATGTATGACACTAGTTAGTGCTTAATCAAAGTAACCAATACAATCCTACTGAAGGCTAATCTTGAGTCCAAATAGCTCAGTGGTAACGCATGTGGCTGCAGTACTGAATGATACTGGTTCTGATCTCAGAGGTAAAAGGAGTTCCCTCAAGGTAGCAGATACGCCTTGCTGACTAATGCCAAGAAGCATGAAGCCTAGGTCCAAGGCCTCCAACCATCTGATAAAAACATAATTAATTTTGACAAAATCTATTGGTAACTAGACTCTTCTCACTTTTGTTTTATTGTAATCACATATGAATTATTGCGTAATCTCTATTCACTTAACTTCTGAGCTAAAAAATTCTCTGGTCCATCGAAAATTCAAGCCTAGTTTGTATCTTAGAGTTATATTTCACCCATTAGGGGAATGGGGGATCAGTTTACTAACCTGGAAAGTGATTGACTTTAGCCTGATGGTGATCTAGCTGTCCATTTTACCTATACCTTTTTCAGTATATTCATTTTACAAATATGACAACTTGTGAAAATATTCATTTAACCGTGTTTTTACCTAAAAATTGATGCAGTTCTAGAGATGAACTCAGAGGAATCTTCACTATCTGAAATGACTCGAACGTTTGTTGTTTACGCCATGCCAATATCTTCTTCCAAAAGAAGAAGGCATAGTTTGATGGAAACATGGCAACAAATTGTAAAAGAAGGATGAGTTGGCCATGTTATACTGTAGATTAAAACGAAAACAACATGGTGCGGTAGATAATAGCATTTGTAGGAAACCGACACACTCTAATAAATACTTAGACTTTGATTCATTCCATCAAGAATCGATAAAGATACGTCTCGTTAAATGTCTGTATAATCGGGCCAAAAGCCTATCTAGGAAGCCGGAAGATTTGAATAAATCTATTAAAGGGAATAAAATGAAGGCATCTGGGTATAGTTGAGACACTAGCCATCCAAAAGCTCAAACCCACGTTTTGTATCCAAAACAAAGAAAATAGAGGAAGTATTACTAGTGAATAACTACCTACCCGAAATATATAAAGAAACATTGAAAAGCTAAGATTAGCAATAAAAATGACAAAAATAATATAGAATTCAAAGCCTTCGCAGTACTGCCATATAAAGAAGGAACGTCAGAAACCTTACATAAGATTCTCAGTGAGGCTGGAAATGGGGTAGCATTTAAACCAACCAAACAATTCTCTTAGAGATAAACTTTGTCAGCTTAAGGACTCAATAGATCCAATTGAGAAAAATAATATAGTTTACCAAATACCATGTAATGCTGACCGTTAGGTCAATTACATAGGTCAGTTTAGTAGATCGGGGTCAACTAGATTCCTGAAACATAAAAACTCTGCTTGACCTAGTATAATTGACCCTGCTAAGTTAAAATAAAGTAGAAAAAAAGCTCAGTCATTACACTACATTCACTTGCATGTAATCACACAATAGGGTGGGGTGGGACGCTGTGAGAGTATTAAAAAGTAATATAGCTAGGTGGAGAGAGAGAGATTAATCACTGAAGGTTTGTTTATCGATTCAACACCGCATACGTGCAACCGGAATGACTCATCGCCTATATCGGAGATATGCAAATTAGCGACAAACAGCAAAGGGAAGTTGGAAAGACAGAAAGAGAGAAAATATTGATAAGACGAATTCAGAAACCGTGTGACTGAAATCGATAAGATTATGAGCAACAATTTATGCTCGAAATGTCATTCAGTCGTCAATAGTGCATCACTGTGTGATATCTAAAATAAACTTATCTAATATGAAGTAGTTATTTTTATTTATGGATTTACCAACTTCCTAATTCTAACAGTATCAAGGATACTAATCTCGAAGTTGGCCATAAGTGGCAGTTGTTATTTGTAAAAATAGAAGTATTAGTAGTTTTATCTCGTCTAAGCTGTAACAGACTTCTTGGCTACCTATATATATATCGATGAATTTCACTCTCTA